TGAAGAACCCTGATTAGGCTAATGCAGCTGTTATAAGGAGATATAGTATTTAAACCAAAGAGAAGAATAATAAAAACCTGAACAATCTGGGCCTCCCCGGTGGCGCAGCGGTTGAGCGCTGGGTTGCGAGGCTGCCTGCAGCCTCTGCAGCACCGGTTTGATCCCTGGCCGCGGGTGAGGGTCCCACATGGAGTGCAGACCTCTCCTGCCACCCGCTGCTCCCCTCAGCAGTGTACTTTGGTCCTTCTGCCTGCTCTGCTCCCCGCTCTGGCTCTGGTGAGTTCTCTCACCCTCCCGCGCTTCTGACTGTACCCAGTGCTTGTATAAATAAATAAATAAATAAATAAATATATTTAAAAAACAAAACAAAACAAAACTGAACAATCAATTAAATAGAACCACCAAAACAAAGGAAGAAATTCCAGCCAAATAAATTACCTTGTCTGTCATTCCAAAGAACTAAAAAAAGGACAAAATTATCCAACAGTCAGCTGAAGGAAGGAAATAGTAAAAATTAGAGCAGAAATATTGAAATAAAAAATCAAAGTCCAAAAGATCAATGAGACTAAAAGCTGGTTCTTTGAAAAAATAAACAAAATAGACAAACCTTTAGCTAGGCTTACTAAGAAAAAGAAGGAGAGAACTTAAAATAGGACCAAAAATGAAAGAGAAGTTATAAGAGATAATGCAGAAATTCAGAGGATAGTGAGAGATTATAATGAATATTAATGTGCAAACAAATTCAACAACCTAGATACAATGTTCAGATTCTTAGAATACTGCAGTCGTCCAAGAATAAATAGGGAAGGAATAGAAACCTAAGCAAACCAATCACAAGCAAGGAATCGAAACCGTAATCAAAACTCTACCCCCCAAAAAAAGTTTGGAGCTAGATGACTTCACAAGGAAGTTCTACCAAGCTTTCAAAGACAAACTAATACCAATCCTGCTCAGACTCTTCCAAAAATCAAGAAAGTAGGAATACTTTCAAACATATTTTATGAGGTCAACATCACATTAATAACAAAATCAAAGATAACAGAAAGAAAAGGTACAGACTAATGTCCCTGATGAACACAGAACCTAAAATCCTTAAAATCTTAGCAAACTGAATCCAGCAATGCATTATAAAAAAATTATACACCACAACCAAGTGGTGTTGGTCCAACCACAAGGATGGTTCAGCATCTGAAATTCAATCAATGTAATTCACCACATCAACAAAAAGAAAGTATGACCCACATGAACATATGAATAGATGTCAAGGAAGCATTTGACAAAATTCAACATACATTTATGATGAAAAATTGTAGATAGATGGAATGTATCTTAACCTCATGTCATCTATGACAAAACCACAGCTAGCATTATCAAAGGTAAAAAACTGAAAGCCTTTCTTAAGGTCTGGTATAAAACACCACTGCTATTTAATGTAGTATTAGAAGTCCTAACTAGAGCAATTAGAAAGCTATGAAAAGAATCCAAATTGGGAAAAGTAAAACAATCATCATTTGCAGATGATATACATAGAGAACCCCAAAAACTAATTAAATCAAACAGTTCAGCAAAGTAACAGGATACAAAATCAATGTGGGAAAATCAGTTGCCTTCTTATATACAATGACCTAGAAGAAGAAATTAGAGTCATGTGTAATCTTACAAAAAAAAAAAATTAAATACCTGGGAATAAACCTAACAAAGGAAATAAAGGAACTAATAAAACATTGTTAAAAGAAATGGAAGAGGGCCTCCCCCGTGGCGCAGCGGTTGAGCGCTGGGTTGCGAAGCTGCCCGCAGCATCTGCAGCGCTGGTTTAATCCCGGCTGCTCCCCGGCCACCAGAGGAGGGTCCCGCATGGCGCATGGCGCGCAGACCTCTCCTGCCGCCCGCTGCTCCCCTCAGCAGTGTACTTCGGTCCTTCTGCCTGCTCTGCTCCCCGCTCTGGCTCTGGTGAATTCTCTCACCCTCCCGCACTTCTAACTGTACCCAGTGCTTGTATAAATGAATAAATAAATCTTAAAAAAAAAAAAAAAGAAAGAAATGGAAGACACAAAAAAATGGAAAGATATTCCCTGCTCATGGATAGGAAGAATCAACATCATCAAAATGGCCATCCTACCTAAAGCAATATCCAGGTTCACTGCAATCCCAGTGAAAATCCCAACAGCATTTCTTCAAAGAAATAGAACAAATATTACTGATAATCATGTGGAACCACAAAAGACCCCAAATATCTAAAGCTCTCCTGACTAAAAGGGAAAAAAATGGAGGTATCACACTTTGTATTTCAAATTATACCATAAAGGCATAATAATCAGAACAGCATGGTAATAAAATAAAAACAGACACAGAATAATGAAATAGAATTGAAAGTCCAGGAAAAAAAACACATATTTATGGGCAACTAATCTGCAACAAAGGAGTGAAGTATATACACTGAGACAAGGAAAACCTCTTCAATAAATGGTGTTGAGGAAATCTGCCACATGCAAAAGAATGAAACTAGATCACAGTCTCACACCATACATGAAAATCAATACAAAATTGATAAAAGACCTGGGTATAAGACCTGAAACCATGAAATACATAGAAAAAGACATAGGCAAAATACTCTATAACATAAACCTCAGAAATATCTTTGCAGACTCATCCTCAGCAAAAAGGAAAACAAAGGAGAATATAAACAACTGGGACTACATCAAACTAAAAAGCTTCTGTACAGTGAAAGAGACAGTAACCAAAGTGAAGAGATACCCTACAAAATGGGAGAAAATATTTGCACACCATGCATCAGAGAAGGGACTGATATTGAAGATGTATGAAGAGTCCATATAACTCAACAAAAAGAAAACAACCCAATCAAAAAATGGACAGAAGAGGGCCTCCCCAGTGGTGTAGCAGTTGAGCGCTGGGTTGCGAAGCTGCCCGCAGCATCTGCAGCGCTGGTCAATCCCCGGCCACCGGGTCCCCCATGGCATGCAGACCTCTCCTGCCGCCCGCTGCTCCCCTCAGCAGTGTACTTCGTCCTTCTGCCTGTTCTGCTCCCTGCTCTGGCTCTGGTGAATTATCTCACCCTCCCACGCTTCTGACTGTACCCAATGCTTGTATAAACAAATAAATCTTTAAAAAAAAAAAAATGGACAGAAGAGCTCCAAAGAAAGACAGATGGCCAACAGGCATATGAAAAGATGCTCATCATCACTTACATCAGGGAAATGTAAATCAAAACCACAGTGGGATACCATATCACAATGGTGAGAATGACCCATATTAAAAAGCAAGCAAACAAACAAAAACCAGAAACAACAACTGCCCATGGGGATGTAGAGAAAAAGGAACCTTCTTACACTGTTGGTGGAAATGTAAACTGGTCCAGTCACGATGGAAAGCTGTGTGGAGGTTCCTGAAAAGACTCAAAATGGATCTGCCATATGACCCAGCAATTCCACTCTTTGGTATCTACCCAAAGAACACAAAAACACTAACTCAAAAGGAAACCTGTACTCCCATGTTTATAGCAGCACTATTTACAATAGTCAAGATAGGGAAACAACTTAAAAGCCCCAAAATAGATGAGTGGACAAGAAGATATGGTCTACATACACAATGAAATACTACTCTGCAATGCAAAAAGATAAACTCATGCCACTTGCAGCAACATGGATGGAACTGGAAGAGAAACCAGGAGAAAGATAGATACCAGATAGTTTCACTTATTTGTGAGCATAAAGGAATTAAGCAAAGGATTTAGACAAACTTTAAAATCGATCCTTGAAAGTTGACCATAGATCTGAGGCATCCAGGAGGGGAGTAGGAGCTGTAGGGAAGAAAAAAGCCAGGAGAGCAGCACAATGGACTACGGTGGAAGATTATGGGTATTTTGGTAGTGGGAGAACTGTGGTGACTATATTTGAGAATAGAAATCCTATGTTATGAAAATATTATCAAGGATGTAATGTTACTTCATTAAAATATTTTTTTTAAATTGAAAGCAAACAGAAATCTTGGGATATAATCTAATCAGTCTTGGACTGGGAGTTGCTACCATTAGCGTTTGCTACATTTTCTCATGGTTTCTTTCTTCACTCTGAAAACTGAAACTATGCCCAAATTGAAACAAGTATTTCTATCTCTTCACATGTTTATTTCTTGAATTATGAGGAGTGTTTTTAAACACAGATACATTTTTTTTGCCTGATGCAGACTGTGAAGATTGAGAGTTTGCTTCATGTTGCTGGAAGAGGTGCTTGGCGGAATCCCAGGCCACATTCCTAGACCAAACTGTTGAAGGTGTTCTCTCTTAAGCAGCATTGGGAAAGTACATCCAGCACTAACATGTGGGCTGATAATGCATCTGAAGCCACAGACAATATGCTTATCTAATTGAAACATAAAGCCAGCAGACAATCTGTTGAGTGATAGAATCTGGATCGTGTACATTTACCCAAATGTAAAATACTCTGATTAGGTTAAAAAATCAATTGTATAAATACAGGATGCAGTGGGGATTTGGGACAAGGTTTAGGGTCTGACTTTGTGAGATTGTAGAAAAGAAACATGGAGATTTTAAATAACTGCGGGTACAGTGGGAGCCTGTGGCACTGGACTGGGGGTGGTTAACATAACTACCGCCATTTCGTTCTGTACTTAGAGAAGCATAGTATTCAAAAAGGGGAGCTTATCGTTCTTTCCTACCTTTTAAACAGACTATAGACTATTATCTTCAGCTCAAAAAACTGAAAGAGGTTGCCAGTGTCTATCTTTGACAATCCATGTGTACTGAGATCCTTGTCACCAGAAAGCACTGGGAACTTGAAACTTGCTGGTTGAGGAAATCTGAATGAGTGGTTCAGAACAAGAAAACTTGAGTAGAAATGGCAACTGGTTTTTGTCACCATTAACAACCCTAAGCACCTGATGGTGCTACCTGGAATGTTAAATTCAAAGAATTCCAAAACTGTCCAGCCTCAGTGAGAAAGAATGTTCTGATTGTTAATGCCCACCGTGGCTGGGGATTAGAATGGCAGCTTGTGTAATATGTTTTTGACATCCTTAGAGTACAATCTTTACAAATGTGAAAAGCTAGCATATGGAGGAAGGAGTAGGTTTATTTTGTGCTTTCCCAGAGAGCAGATCTAGGACCAGTGATAAATTTAGGTTCCCAACATAGTATCTAGAAGAACTTTCTGTTCCATTTAATTAAGCAAATACTGAATGCCTTTTGCATACAAATACTTTAATAGGGGCATCTACAACCTAACAAAGAAAAAAGGAGCCTTCCTGGACTATGATTCCTTTTCTTGTTACAGTTTTTTCTTTTCTTTTTTTCTTTCATAAGTCACTGAATGAATAGAAAACCCTTTAAACCAAGTGATAGGTGCACCTCACTAGATCTGGAAAGGTTATGGGAACATCCCTACAGACTGGACCTCTACCCATGCCAGAACTTTCCCTCAAAGTCAAATCCAACTCCTGGGTGGCTCACTAGCCATGATCATCTCAAGCTGGATACTACCAAAGCTGTGGACTGCCCCCCATGGGTAACTGGCTCTACTCCTTGCCTTCCTTGACCTAGGTGAGGTTTGTTGTTTTTTTTTTTTTAATTATAAAAAAAGGGACAAAGCCACAATGAAAAGCCACTTCACACCTAAGATAGGATGGCTGAAGGCAATAAGGGTAATATAGATGGGTGAAAATGTGGAAAAAGTGGAACCCTCATCTCCTGCTGGTGGGAATGTAAAATGGTGTAACTACTCAAAAAGTTAAACTTACAGTCGCCTTTTCCTTGTTATAGATGTTTAACCAGAGACGAAAGCCCTTTTAGGAAGGAGACATGCTGAAGTGAGTGGTTGGAGTTAGGTACACTCTGAAGGGCTTTTGTACTCCTAAGTTTTTCAAATGTATTGATCATAGGTGTGCTTCTTATTTTTAGTTCACATAGTTTCCTAATGAGGACAATCAGCTATTTTTGTCTTTGAACCCTCTGAGATACGTACATTTGAAATATCAGAAATCCTTCTCCTTTCTTTGCAGAATGCTGTACATTTACTTTTCCACACTTATATATGGATTCTCAAAATTAGTTATTTTTCCTTTGGATCAGATAGAATGGAATGCTTTTTTTTTTTTTTTTTTTTTTAAAGATTTATTTATTTATTTATTTATACAAGCACTGGGTACAGTCAGAAGCGCAGGAGGGTGAGAGAGTCTACCAGAGTCAGAGGCAGGTTGAGCAGAGCAGGCAGACTGATGAAATACACTGCTGAGGGGAGCAGCGGGCGGCAGGAGAGGTCTGCGTGCCATGTGGGACCCTCGCCCGGTGGCCGGGGATCGACCAGCGCTGCAGAGGCTGTGGGCAGCTTCGCAGCCCAATGCTCAACTGCTACGCCACCTGGGAGGCCCTAGAATGGAATGCTTTTAAAAAGAAAAGTCATGATCAGATTTAGATGCCTCAATTGCTTAAGAAATTAACATTTGACATTAGATTTTTTAGACAGGTCAACAACTCAACTAAAAAACTTCTTCCTATTCACCTTCCTCTCTGGAAACATAGCATCTTTAGATATTACAGCTTTTCAAAGAGTTTCTCTTTTTAATGTAAGCTGTGAAAAAATTTGACCCTACCCCATCAGGCTTTTATCACATTTATCACTTTCTTTGCTCTTCTGTAGAGTGGTTGGAGATTTCCCAACATGGAGATGTATGAATGTGTGTGTTTCAACCACAGGCTGCAGGCCCACTCATTCCTCACGGACATCTATTCTCTCTGATCTCGTATTGCTTTCAAGTACAAACGTTGCCTGACAGCAAAGCAAGCTGTTTGCTATTTACATTCCCTATAGGGTTCTGTTTTCTCCTATTTCAAAGCTTTCCTTCTATGAGTCTTTTATTTATTAATTCACCAAGCACTAATTGAGTGCCCAGTGGGTGCCAGGCAGTGAGGTAGATGGGGTTTCTTTTCCATATATCGATCAATCCATTTTCAGGTGCTATTTGATAAGGAACATCACTGATTTGCCCATATAATACTTCTGTGACCTATTCATGTACTTCAAATGCTCACAGTTCATGTACTCATACTCCAGATATTTCATATAATCATATTTCACAAAAGCCTTCCATGACCTATCTTTATACTCATACTTACAAAAAAAAAAATTTAAAAATCTGTTGAGCAAATTCTCTGAGTTACTGCAGAACTTCCTGCCCATAGTGTATTTTCAGTGGTGATCCTGGAACACTTTAGATGAATAATTTTAAGAGATGGTTTTCTTATCCCCCTGACTTTCAGGTGTCATATTATGTCTAAATTAAGACAGTGACAGTTCTTCTTAGATAGTGTGAAATAATTTGCAGTTTAAGGTCATTTCATAAGGAACTGTAATAATGCCTGTCGAAACTACAAGAGTAGAAGGAAAACTTCTGGATCAAAAATGCTGTTCATTTCTACTGGTTCTAGGATGGATTTTCCCCTTACTTAAAAGGCTATGTTTAGGCCTCTAGGATTCAGGAATTTATCTTTTACTTGGCAGTGTTTATAAATCCTGTGTGTTTTCTTCTGACAGAAACTTAAATGGTGAGAACGCTTCCATTTACTGGAAGATGGTTACATGATTATGCTGACTAAAGAAAAGATGGAAAAATCAGTATAGTGAAAACTATCTTGCCTTTAAGCGTCAATCAAAAAGCATACTTCAATTTAGTAATGGTATCTCTTTAGAGCTTACTAGAAAACACTTCTCAGTCTGTTGACTGTCCTTGAGATGTGAAGTCAGGAGGCATTTTTCTTCAAATATGTGAAATAAGTAAGACTCTATATGTAGTATTCACAGGTCATGTAAATTGTGTCAATATAACAAGAGAACAACTCAGAAAAGTTTCACCTCAATACACAGGAAAGCAAATTTTTGCATAGTTCTTTTGTGAATCTCAACAACAACAACAAAAATCACAGGCCCAGGAAATGGTAATATGTCCTACTCACCTTCAAATACCAAACTTATAGTTATTTTCCTGGCTGTCTTTTCCACTTCTGAGCAGGGCAATGAGAATAATGCTAGGGTTAGGGTTGGCTCTGTTTTTCCTTCTTTGAAGCAAAGTTAAGGAATAGTCACACCTCCACTAACCTAACTTAATGGTATGTATAAATATAAATAAATTGTAGGACTTTTTCCCCCTAATAAAATCTTAAATGAAACCCCAATACATAAGACAAAAATAAGCAGTGCTGTTCTAGTCAAACTACAACTACAAGTGTCAATATGCTGTCCCCTTGACCTTAATTTTGCTCCCTGCAAGAGGCCTGCTCTGTAAAGCCCATATGGAAAATCATTGTTCTAGACTAAAAGTCAGCAAATAAAAATTCCAAAGTCCTAAATCTTTCTTCCTTGTGAAAAATGGCTGTCTTCTCCCCACATCTGTGGACATTCTTTGCATTAAGGGTTATGTTCAGGGCCTTCCTGGTGGTGCAGGGGTTAAAGTTTCAGTGCTATCAAACTATCATTAGCCACTGCAGCATGAGTTCAATCTGCAGCCAGGGAGCTAAACCCCATGGCACAGCAGACCTTTCTTGTCTCTCCTGCTGCTCCCCTCAGCAGTGTATTTCAGTAGATCCACCTGTTCTGCTCGCCACTCTTGTTTCCTTTTTTTCCTTTTTTACATTTTATTTATTTTTTTACCTTAACATTTATCATTTTTTAATTTTTTTGGACAATATTTGCTTCCCCCCATCCCCTCAGATTGAGTCCCCATAGAATTTCCTTCCCCAAGGCACCCATGCACCTCTCCACTCTTGTTGGTGGTGAATCCTCACTCCCCGCACCTCTGGCCTAGTTCTTATATGCATAAATGAATAAAATAAAACTTTTAAAAAAATAAAAAGGGTTGCATTCAGCCACTTGTTCAGTGTGTTCATAAATGGCAATATGATGAGGTCCATACTTTTTTTGTTGCATGATTTTTAGAGATATTCATAGATAGGTCTAATAGCTGAGAAGTAATTCAGGATGACCTTATTGTGAAGATTTCATTAACTCATTTTTATAAATCATTAAGTTCTATAATGATAATAAAATTTATTATCACCAATACTATTTCTTTTGAAATGCTTTTCATAACCTGATATCGAACATACATTTGTCTGGTTCTAAGACCCTAAAAATGACTTTCTTAAAACCTGGAAGTATCTATTATTCCAGAACTTCTGGTCAGTCTTCAAAGTCAGTCTCATAAAAATAAGGGGAACCCCCATCATTCCTGTTGTAAGCAGTATTAAAGGTTACAAAGATTTAACCTAGTGTAGAGCACAAGTAGGCATTGGATCTGGAACCTAAATTCAATTGGTTTGTCATCATTAACATTCCAACAGGATTATATTGGCTAATGTCATATGTCGGCAGGATTGCACAGTTAAATAATAAACTTGTCCAGAAGGTATAGTGTTCCATATATTAAAAAATGCATATATGTTTCACTCCATTTGACCCTATAAATAGCCCTTTGGAAAAGATTGGAAAGACATATTCCCTTATAACAGATGAGGAAACTGAAGCTTACAATAGCTACATAAATTGTTCCAAGATATACACCTATAGAGACGGAGCAAGGATTACAGTCCAGTAACTTCTCCCAACCCATCCCTCTTACCATAAGTGTGACTCTATAACCATTACCTGCAATGGTCAAGTAAAAACCATATTTTCCCCTTGAAACATCAGAGTACCTGGCAGATGCAAGCTAATATCACCCTAGCCTAGTGTCCACTCTTTCTGTAAAGCAAACTGGCAACCTTTGGTGTGCCAAGGACAAAAATGGCGATGGGATGATAAAAAGAAAAAAGTTTATTCTTAGGAGCTTTTGAAGTTACTTTTTTCCTTTTTTAAGAGAAAAAAACTCAAGGGGAAAAATGAATATATGATAACTGATTTCCTCCTGTACCTTCTTATTTATAATTTTGCTTAAAACTGAGGATCCTGGTGAATGAACTATTAAGAACATAAGAGAATAGAGGAACCCAAACATGATCATTATTAGATTTACTTTGAAACTTAAAGAAAAGATATAGAAATCAGGTCCTACTCCCTGAGATTCGTAGGTTTGGGACAGGACTTGGACATGGGACATGTTTAGACTGCCACAGGCAGTTCAGATGTGCAGGAAAATTTGAATTGCTGAATTAGAAACTAAATCAATTAAATATCCTGTGATTTTTAGAGAGACTTATAATTTATTTCATGGTCCAAATACTTGGATTAGAACATGGTTAGAAGGGATTTGCAGTCTTGTAAATAACCAGAGGTTCAGAGACCTTGAGAGCAGAAGATAATCTTTTGACTTGAAAGATAGTTCCTAATCAGAAACTTTCATTTGAAATCAAAAGCCTGGGACAACATTGCTGAACTGAAGGATTGAGTTGGAGTCCAGATCCACTACTTACTAGATGTGTGACCTCGTACAATTACTTCATATCTCTGTTTCAACCTCTTAATAGGGCAGTAGTGGGGATTAAATGTGTTAATACACGCAAAGTGTTTAGACCAGTACTTGGCAATAGTAAATGCTTAGTGAATTTTAGGT